TGTATTTATGAAAAGTGCCAGATATATATCACTATGTACCACAATATTCCATTTATTCTGATAAATATTGTAAAAGAGAAAATAAGAAAGCAATTTTGCTACAGCTGCTTCATGGAAAATGCTAAATACTCTTCTTTGTACCTAAGAATCCTTGAAGAAGAGTTGAACTAATAAGAAGACTTCAACAGAAAGTTATTGCCAAAAATCTTTAAGCTGCAGACTTCATACTTGTTTTTGTAAAAAAAAATAGAAGTATATCAAAATTCTATCAGTGAATTATTATTACATTAGAGAGGTTTGAAAGGAAGGAAGGAAGAATCATCTAAGGTCCCACCACTCAACCCAGCTACCATCTTGAAGATATTTTTAGCCTTTGCTACTTAATAGGCAAATAAATAAAGAATTCAGATACAGATTACCGTACCTATGTCAACTATCGGTACCAAATATTGGGAACCAATCTCTGCCATTTATTTCAGCAAATGTGCAAGATACTATGTGGGAGCAAGAGACAAAAGAACAAAGCAAAGTAAAATTATATTGTTGAGAAATACATAAATGGAGAAAAGCAAAAAATTTTTTTACCACAGAAGTCAGCATGGGAGGTTCTTGGGGATTCTGGGAATCTAGTGATGCTCTATTTTTGACCTGGGTAGTTGTTTCATGAATGTTCATTTTATAATTATAGGTAAGAAGTCCATTTCATGGACTTTTTTGTTGGTATATTCTATAATGAACAATGTTAATGCTTAACAGCATTATTTTGTGAATGAAGATTCACAAACTAAAGGATTTCTTCTTTAGAGAAAAATAGGGCTATGGCAGATAGATTAGATGTATTAGATATTAGATATATTGGCTAGGACTAAGATACCTATATTTTACTAAGCCTATGTAGTGTTCATAACATGTTGATATTTTTAGTGAAGAAGAAATACATGGTAAGTAGTCTCCAAGATGTCCTCAATGATCACCACCACCTGGTATTTATTCCCTTGCATAATACTCTCCTATACTGAATAGGGCTCACTTGTGTAGCAACTTCCAAAGCTAATGTCACAAAAGACTTGTGGCTTCCTTCATATGATCTTTTGACTGACTCACTCAGGGGGAAACCAAGCTGCCATGACATGAAAAAGTACTTTAAAAAATCTTATAAGGAAATGAGGCCTCTAGCAAACAGCCTTCAAGGAACTAAAGGCTCCTGCAAATGACCTAGGAAGTAGATCCTCCAGCTCCACCTCAAACTCCCCAGCCAAGTTTTCAGGTGACTGCAACCTCATGAGAGACCTTCTCCCAGAAGCACCCTGCTAAGCTATGCTCAGATTACTGACCCACAAATGTTTGTTGCTCAAAGCTACTAAATTTTGAAGTAAACTATAAAGCAGCAAAAGATGACTAATATGGATTTTATCAATTAATTCCTTAGAATGCTTTTTATAAAACACAAATCAGATAGATACTACATCCTTAATTCTACATCAAAGGCTTGTTCCTGGACTAAAACCCAAACTCCTCACTATGGCCTAAAAAACCATTAATGCTCTGCTTTCTACCTACCTTTTACCCTCACCAGGTTCCATTCTCTACCTCCTCAACTTCACTGGACTCCTTTTAGCTTATTAAAGAATGTACTCTCTTGCTTGACCTTTGCACTTGCTGTTTTCTTTGCTTAGGAATGCTCTTCCTTGCACTCTTGAGGGTATTCTTTGCATGCTCAGCTCCTTTTTTGTCACTCAGATGTCAGCTTAAATGTTCCCTCCCCAGAGAGGCCTTCCCTGATGATTCATTCATAATGAAAAGACTTCGAAAGATTCCCAATAAGGAGGAATAAGATAAGGAGGCCATATTTAAAGCAATGTGAAATTGGAGTTAGTCTGGTTAGATGAACTGGATCCAATGAAAGAAATAAGAAGTATAAAATCTGGAAACAAGAATAGTTTACATGATTGTATATCTCAGATACATAAGAGAAAAAAACTGGAAAAATAAGAAATATGTAAACTCTATGGGAACAAACCTTTAAAACACACTCGAAGAATAAAAGAAGGCATTAGCAAATGGAAAGGCATGATATGTAGGATAGGAAGACTATACATCAAAAAGATGTAAATTCTTCAAATTATCTGTGTAATGTGATTCCAAAAAAATACCAATAGGACTTTATTCTTATAATTAGATAAGGTGATTATAAGCTGAAATGGAAAAAAAAACAAGGCAAGAATAGTCAGGAAATCTGAGAAAAATTAAAAGAAAGAATTAGCTCCATCAGATATTAAAACATATTATAAAACCTAAATAATTAGAATGATTTAATAGTGGTACAAGAGAGACATAACAGTGATGTAATGAATAGAAATCTAATATAAACAAATACAAATCAGTACAGAAAAGACAGACAAGATAATTGAGTATAGTCATCTAGAAAAATAAATTGTTACTAACATTCTACACACAAAATGGATAAAATAGTTAAATGTAGAAAAAATGAAGGCATTAAAATACTATAAAAAGAAAATGGGAGAACTTTTTATAAGCTAGATGTGGTAAAGATTTTTCTAATTAAGATATAATACACTAAAGCCATAGAAGAAAAGATGAAAAAAATTTTCATCTTTTAAGTTAATTTTTAATGTCACTTTAAAAATACGAATGTTAAAAACAATGATAAATTGAGGAAATATATTTGCAACTTTGATCACAAATGGTCAGCTTCCTAAAGGAGTTCTTACAAAATCAACAGAAGACTAATAATCCAAAAGAAAAATGGGCAGTCTGCATATTATCTCCAACTTCAAAATATTTTTAATCAACTTTATTACCTTTTCAGAAAAATGAATAAAATAAAAATGAAGATCACTCTAGCTGTTTAGATATCACTTTACCAAAACTCTTACGGATGGATACTGACTTATATGAGTGTTTTGTGGAAATTTGGAAAAGTACTTAACATTTGTAGCTGAGTTGAAACAGTGTGAAAATCAGGACAAGAAGTCTATCCATGAAGTGAGGAAATAATAGTTCACCACCACCAATTCCAGTCTCATCCTGACCATTCACATGATAGAAATTTTAGGAAATGTTTTAGACTTCTAGGGGAGCACTTTGGGAAATGTTATTTATTCTTGAGAGGCAAAGTGACTCTAGCAAACATTTGTGTTACTAGAGGATAAAAGTGAAATTTAGTCAGTAAGTCTAGTCTCAAAATGTGTTTGTGATGGCAGATGTGACTCTGGGCCAATTTCTTCTCATCTACAAAATGAAATGACTGGTAGAACTTCATTCATGTATGTAACCCCATTATCTAGCCCAGTGTCTGGCAATAAGAAAGTATTCAATAAGCACAAGTTCCTTCACTTATCTCATTCTTAAATTGTTTTTTTTTTCTTCCAAAATTCCCTCACATTGTAAAAAATTTCAATCAAGTATATTGGTTAGAATTTAATTATAAAATCCCAAAATAACTGGTTTTAAACAAGTAAAAAAAAAAATTCCCTCTCATGTTAAAGAAATTCGAGTTTAAGAAGGCCTGAGGTTGGTGTGGCAGCTCTGCAGGTATCATCAGGGACTCAGACTCCTATGATTCTTCCCACCATCCTAGTACAAACCTTCCACTATCAGGTCAATTCCTGGTTCCAGATGGCTGTTGGAGCTCCAGCCATTAAACCCATGTTCTATAAATGTTGAGTGAAAAGAGTAGACACATGAGAGTACATACTATATGATCCTAGTTATATGGAGTTAATAAAAAAGACCTTTATAGTGATAAAGGTCAAAATAGTGGTTATTTTTATGTGGAGTCATTGACTGGGAGGGGCCACAAGGGAGCCTTCTCGAGTGCTAGAATGATTTATATCATTATTTGGGTTGTGTTATAGACATATGAATAATTTCTTGATATGTGCTAACTTAAGATCTGTATATTTTACCAAATCTAAGATAATTGACTAAATAAGGTACATCCCAGTTCTTTGATCTTATCCGTATTTTGACAAGACTGCTTCAAAAAGACTGAAGAAACAAAGTATTCTAAAACATTTGTATTCAGTGTCCAGCTCTTGTGCTTGTCACTGCTATTCACCTTTCGAAGGCTAAAAAATGAAAAAGACAGTCTACTACAGTAATAAGAGTATAGCAACTGTCTTAGGGTTAACTCTATCTCCATTTTGCATTTAATGCTTTACTCTGAAAGGGGTATAGAAATAATAGCTTTTACCTTTCCCAGAATCAGAAGAGAGCACCTCTATGAGGATTTATGAGGAAATATATGTCATGATCTTAACATAGTGCCTGACACATAATAAAAGGTAGTAATTATTTTATCATTATTATATTTATCACAATTATTAACAAATGATAGCACAGGGACTTCAAATGATTCTATGGCCAGGAATCCCAAATAAACTGGTTAATATCCTTTTGGATGTGAATATCCTACTGAAAATATACATTTGGCTATGAACCTGTTTTTCAGTTGAGAACTTACTAACGAAGCTGAATCCAGTTCTTATAGCTCTGTATTTTCTCAGAACTTAAAGTAGTCATAGAAACAATTTGGGGAATATGTTGTAAGAAATCTGGTTTCATTTTCGATAATACATTATCCTCATTAAGGTGGCCCTATGGATACTGAATTAGAAATACTTTCAAAATACAGTAACTGATAAAAATAAGGTATAAATCAGTATGTATAGGTTAGTACCATTTATTTATGTTGTCTAATTATGAATGCTTTGAATGGTCTATAAAAGTACACAAGAAACTGACAAAAGTGGTGACCTTGGGAGATGAAGAACATCATGGGGTAACAACTAGGAAGAGCTATACCCTTTCATTCATTTAACGCAAAAAGCCCAGGCTAAGACAGATAGCATCCTTATTATTTCCTTGGAAATAATGGAAGTGGGTACTTTTCTAGTCCACATTTTCATGGGGAAAAGATTTATTTTATATGTGGAACAAATCCCATTTTGAGAAATGTATAAATACAAAACACTTACCCACTTAGCGATTGGACACCCATGAGAGCTTTTTCCTTCTTTCCCCGTATACACTACTATTTCTATCCTTACTGCGTTTCCTTTCTGCCCGTACCTGAGTACAAAACACAGTGAAAGGAAAATAATTGCACTATACACTTTTAACATCTTAATGTGCATAAAATATAGATTTGCAGAAGCACAAAAATTAAACATTCCTCACAATTTATTCTCATTAAAAATTCACTTTTGTGTGGCAGATATTTTATTTGTTATCCAGTTGTTTAATTATCCTTAAAGATCAGTCTTTTAAAAAAGGGCCTGGCTCCAATACAGACTAAAAGAATGTGACTGCAGTGTTTATGGAGGTAATTTAAACTATTTCTACCATTATTATACAATAATGTAAAAACAAATATTTCTGAATTTAACAAAGACAGTCTTGCTTTGGGAATGTCTTGTTGAGTGCCCAATAGCTCATGTGATGAGTGACTCAGCAGGGAACCAGGAAACTATTCTTTTCCTGGGCCCTAAGAAACATCCAATTCATACTCCTGAAGGTTTTCCATTCACCTCATGTTTGTTCCCAGAGATAATTTCTCTGCATTGAGTATGGTCCACAATAATGAATGATTTTAACAGGGAAGTATATTTCCTCACCTATTCTCCATGATTTCCCTGACAGCAGCAACACTTGGTCCTGCCCCAAGGTGTGTATAATATGGGCCTTTGTCTTTTTGTATAACTCGATCTGTGGAAGGAATAAGATTATTAGACCCAAAGTTTTACAGAATTGCATAGGGGCAAGGAGGAGTTATTTTTATTAAAAAAAATTTTTTTTTTCAATTCAGAACAATGAATCTTGAAAGGCTTTTGTAAGCTTTAATAATTAAAGTATAGGGCAATAGGCCCTGGAATTTAACTCGTTTCTTTCTTTCTGCTCTTAACTAATGTATTCTTCCTCTAAAAATCAGAGGATGAAAAACATACTTTAAGATGTGGGTCATATTTACTCTTCTATCTCCTGCTTTAAAAATATCTATAATAATTGAGGTGCAAAATTAAAAATTATGTAAGAGCAATACATATTAAAAGCATGGCCTCAGAATCTTATTAAAACTGAGCCTAGCAATTGCACTAAGAATTTGTTCTACTATACATCTGCACAATTATGTACTTATAATGCAAATGTACACAGAATGTTCCTAATTACAATTATTTATGATATTAAAAAAAAACCCTCACCCTTAACATATATCCATAAGTGATAGGATAAATAAATTAAGGATCTTTATATAGTGGAATATAATAAAGCTATTAAAACAAAAATCTAAGAATTTATTTAGGTAAAAAAGCAAACTGCACAAATAATGTTTTAAAAGAACTAAATTTTGTAAAATATGAATCAAAATTAAAATCAGTAATAATGTTAATTCATGTAGAAAAACTGTAACAGAGGTTTTATCTTTAGAGAATGAGACTTAAGAAGACATTTGTATCATATTTGTTTCATGTGAATTTTTTGAGTGTGAATTAATGTCTTAGAAAACATTATTTTTAACTCAGACTCTTAGAATCATGCTAACTAGAATCACTGCAGAATGTATTTCTCACCATGGTGCACCTACACCAAAAAGTCATTATTGAACCATTTTGATTAGATATCAAATACGATTTAGGATTACTTCTGAGGCTTCTAAAGCAAGATATATTGAATAGATTTTAACTTATTATTGGTGATCTAGAACAGTGGTTCTTAACCAGGGGTGATTTTTCTTTCTGAACATTTGGCGATGTTATTGGTTTTGACAACTGGGCAGGTGTGTGTGTGTGTGCACGCGCGCGCGCGTGTGCATCTGTGTGTATTACTGGTATCTAGTGGGTAGAGGCCAGGGATGCCACTAAACAGCCTATAATGCCTAAGACAGCTCTCCTACAATAAAGAATTATTACATCTAAAATGCCCAATAGTAGTAAATATGAGGAACTCTGATAGAAAGGTTAATTACTCCTACTTTGCTAGAACATAATACCTCCATGGAAATCCTTTACCCTTAGAGAGGATGGTCCTACTTGGGATGATTTCTGAGTGAGTCTGTTTTTTGTTTCTCTTCTTCAAATTTCCATTTCTGCACAATAACAATAACCTCACGTGTAATGATTAGAGGAAAACCTGTAAGTGGCAGTGTATAAAAACAGTTCCAGATCCACTGTAGATACTCAATAAATTTTAAATGCCTGACTGTCTCAGCTCCTACATTGTGGCTAGTTAGTAGTTATAAGGAAGTGGTCCTGAAACTAGATTATCATCCTATTGATACAATTAGACTAGTTCAGGTATATTTTTCCCATTTGTAATGATACTTAGAAAAATACTATCTCTTTCTTACTTCAGATTTTCGAAAGGACAAAGAATGAAGTTTATAAACACAGGCTCTCGAATTGGGACTGCCTATTTCTGAATTCCAGCTTAGTCATTTACTAGCTGTGAACTTCTTTGTGACTCAATTTCCTCATTTGTAAAATAGAAATAATAAGCCTTTCCTTTGTAAAATTGTTATGAATATAACAAGTCAAGGACATGGCACAGTATCAGACTTGCAATAAAGATCTGGAATAGGAGCCATTATCATTTTTACACTCTTCTATCCTTGGTCCAAGACCTCTTATTCTCCCAATTCAACCCCACTCAGACAGAATTGTCGTCCTTTCCAGATTGTGAGTTCCTTTTCAATAGAGCCTGTCCTTGGTTCCTGGCACATGGTAGGCTGTCAAAACTGTGTGTTGAATGATGAGTAGAGAAATGGAAGGATTCATTTCAGAATGTCAAATGTAATCTGAATAATAAAGAACTAAAAGTCATCGCTATATTTCACTATTTTTTCTATTGTGGTAATATATATATATATATCAGAATGATATACTTTACCCTTCCAAACAATTCTTTAACTACCCATTCTGGTATGTACCACCTGCTTCTAGTAAAAAGACTGCTTTTATTCAAAGCAAATCTTGAGTCTTTGTGATTTGGGGCCATATTTTAAGTAAAACTTTGAAGAATTAAACTTATGCGAGTTCAAAACAGGTTATTTTACAAATTCTGTCCTATTATAAGTTGTATAAAAGCTGAAATAATGGGGTTTTACCAGCCTAACAAACTTTAATGACACAATCTATTTAATCTCCCTATTTTACAACCGTATTCGAGTAAACAAGTTTCTTCTTATATTTGAGCACTTACATGAAATTTTACCATAGACAGTGTCTAATCAGTAACAGGATTCAATTAAGCTTCCATATGTTTCAAATATTGAGCAAATTTCTCATAAGGCCTGCCTGAGAATCTTTACTCCAGCAAGATTTTCTCAGGGCTTTTAAAACACTGATAAAACTTCTAATTGTTAGTTTCTGAATATTCTCTTTCAGTGACTCCTAAGGCACAAAATATACAAATACATTAGTTAGAAATTGGTCCATGACTCAGCTATTTGCACAAACCTATTTGTTGGTTTTTTTTTTTTTTTGAAATAGAAAATCAATATTTATTCAACAATTTAATGTTTTAAAACTCCAAAATGTTTGCAAATTCTTCAACTGGCCAAATTTATGGAGTTTTCTCATTTACAGGCACACCCTTTATATTACAGAACATAAAAGCAATAGGCACTGAAAATAAATCAGTTCAAGTTCTCGACTGGGGTAGCAATCACACAGATACTATGTATGGTTATTTGTTAAGTTGTACACATGTTTTTTTATATTCTCTGTATGCAAGTTTTTTCTCACAATAAAAAATATATTTTTTTAAGCAAAAAGCTTACAGGTTAAAATTCTTTTGAACAGAGGAAAAATAAACTGTAACAAAGTATTAAGGGAATTTATTCTTATGATGTGCACAATACACAACTTGAGAGACATTTTAGCCTTGAGAGTAATCAGCAAATTTTCCACTTGAGAAAGTTTCCAAATTATGAGTTGAATTTCCCATTTATCTAAGCAGAATCAATAAAGGTCCCACAGAAAAATGGGTATAGAATTATTTAGTCCATCTTAGCTAGAATATGAATGGGGCAAAAAGGCCACATATAAAATATAAACCAAAACTTGATTCAGTCATGACTTGAGTCAATTTTAATGTATGTAAAATTAAGAAGAAACACACTAAAATCACACTTACCAAGACAGTTGCAGGTTGGCAATTCGGAATCTTTCGTTGTGGACACCAGGTTTTTTGTAGGATTAGTAAAGAAGCTCATGGCATAATCATTAAAACTTTTCTGTGTATTCTCTGCTGGGGAAAATTCTGATGCTCCAACACTAGATAAACAGACATCCTCTTCACTTTTGGTAGAAACTACTGCAATTCCACCTGAACATACTACATTCACATTCCTGAGAATTTGTGCTGGGTCCAGTAAGGGGGTCTCATGAGAGATCCCAGGCAAAGTTGGCAGTCTCTGATGCATGAGTTGATCTTTAACATCCTGCTGGAACTGTGTTTGGTCATCATCAGCCATCACATTAGCACACTGGTTAGTTGGAGAGGAAGGTTGGAGTAAAAGATGAGCATTCTGATTGACATTCACTGTTGGCTGTACCTGAGAATTATAAACTTTTCCTGTAAACGCCTGCCCATTGGATTCTGTTTTCAACTGGGATATAGGGAGAGAATCCAATGGATCAACCTTCATCATTTTTTCCTGTGCTAATTCAGGATAGTATCGCTCAAATTTTATCTGAGTGAGTGGAGGAAATAATTTTTTGTGTTCTAATGCTGAACTTGTTTGAGTCAGTGGTTTCCATAATTTACTTACAGGAGGAATTTTTCCCAACAGAACAGGAAAATCATGTGGACCAAATTGACCAAATCTCTGAAATTTAGATGCTATCCAGATATCATGTAACTTACTGTACTCATATGACAACTGTTCCTGCTTTTTCTGATCATTTTCTTGACAATTTATGACTGCAGGCTTCTTTTTCCGCCGATCTCTTGATGGGGTAGATTTTGTCTTTTTCTGGGTTGTATTCTTTTGCTTTGTTAATGATGAGCCATGATTATTTTGAACACTGGAAGGTGGTTTCTGTTGTATTGTGCTCTTCTCTTGACTGTACTTTTGCTGCATGTTATATGCAACAAGGTTTGTTGGTGTACTTTCAACATTTTTTTCATCTGGCTTTATATAATTAAATTTTATTATCGATGCAAGTTGTGTTAACTGTGTTGCAACATCTTCCTCTATTTTACTATGAACTGTATCTTGACATGATGGATTATCCTTTGAGTCCAACTTTTTACTGCTATCCAGTGACTGGTTACAACACCCCAATTTATTACTTGTTGGTGGCAACTGATGCAGATTCTTGGAACAACTGTCAAGAGTAATTCTGCCTTGAGCAACATTTTTATTGGTGTTAATTTTAGATGAACTTGAATTCGATGTAAAAACAGATATTGAATTTTCGACTTTTGAATACTCCTGTGACTTTGTAGATGCTTGGTTAGTAGCTAAACTGTTGTGTGACTTAGAAATGATATTTTGGCCATTGAACACCACCGTGTTGCATGAACTTTGCTTTTCCAAAGGTAGACAGTGATGAAGGCTTTGTGGCTCTCCTTGTAAATTTGGTTCTTGGAGATCTTTTTTTACAGAATAGAGGATAGCTTTGCAGTTATTAAGCAAACTAGCTGTCCTCTGCTCTGTTTCTTCATCTTTCTCTGACTTTGATGGCGAGGAATTTTCTGAAGGGGCTTCCGAAAGCTGAGTCAAAGCTTCAATAGCCACTACTTGCTCCAGCGTTAATCTCCTATCTTTCATTAAGGATAGAAGACTTGGTTGAACTGGAGATCCATCTTTTGGTTCTTTACTTGGTATATTTTCTAGAGATTTTGGTTGATCACTTTCATTGGGTGTACTAGTCTGACTATTTAAGTTGAGGTTTGCAGGATCTGGAAAAGACTTGCAGTTAAAGCCAGGCTTCTGGAAGACTAAAACATTACTTCTCCCCTTAAGATGATCACAGCTTGCGCTTGTAGCAATGGAGCTCATGGCATTGTTATGATTTGCAGTGTCTTTCAGGAGTTTATAGGAATTGTTTTCAAACGCCTTGCCAAATTCTTCAATGTTGAATTTTTTAAAAGATACATTTGTTTCAGTTGGTAAATAGTGTACATTTTTAATGCCATTTCTTATAGATTGTGGAAACAATTTTTGAGGTTCAAGGAGTTCAGTAAGTAGGACTTTTTTCCTGTCATCTTCAGAATTTTTTAATTGTTCAGCTTCTGTCACGACTGCCTTAACCTCTCCTTTGACATGATCAGTTAAATGTGATTTCTTGTTTTGTGTCCACTTCTCCACTTCAATACCTGTCATACTTTCTTCATTTTTAGTTACATTTTCAAGGGGATGTAGGTTCAATTTCAATCTCTGTTCTTCCCCATGACCACATCTACTGTATTCCATGGATTCTGACTTGGGGCCATTTACTGGTTTGTTGTCAAAATCTGCCTGTAAAATAAACATAGCAAATACTCATATTATCCACTTAAATATCTGAATAAGAGGCATAGGAACTTTAGAATTTAATAACAACTAGATGTGAAGTCCCAGAAAAAAATATTATTTTTGCTTTTAGCATGTTCAGAAGTCATAAAATACCAGTAAAAGGTGTATATGGAGAAAGGAAAACAGAGAAGTAGAAACTAATATAATTCCATGCCTGTTAGTTATTATTTTGGTATACACATTTGTTTTTTAAATAAATTTTAAAAATATTTTTAAATTGGTACTGTTCAATGGGCAGTATCTACAATTTTAATGCAAACTGCACTGAAGTAGAACATACACACACAAAAAATGGACAAATCATAAGTATATAGCTTGTTGAATTTTCACATAACGAACACCAATCTGCCCAGATTACAACCAAGAAACTTCCATCTAGTCATCACTCCATCGCCAAAGGATAACCATTGCTTTAAAATTTACCACAGATTTCGTTTGCTTATTTTCAAACTTTATATGACTTCCTTATACTCAAAATTGTATTTGTGAGATTCATTCATATTGCAAAGTATACTTGTAATCCATTAATTCTTGTTTCTGTATAGTAATTCATTGAATGTACTACAATGTATTTATCTATTCCACTGTAGAGGGACATTAGGTCTTTTTTAGTTTTGGGCTATTACAAGTACAGTGCTCTTGCATATTACTGTTATCTTTTGGTAAACACATACATATACTGGGTGGTGTGAAAGTGCTGGGTCATAGAGTGTGTATATATGTGTATATAGCTTCAGTTTTAGGAGACAGCAAAAAATTTTCAAAAGTGGTTATCTATATACACTCCCAGTGGGAATTATGAGAGCTCCAATTGTTCTACATTCTTATTAACAATTATTATTTTTGGTCTTTTTGCTTCAGTCATTCTGGTGGGTGGATAGTGATACAACCTCTTGAAAAAAATTTTTTTGAGATGAAATGTCCATAAAAGAAAATTCACTATGTTATCATTTAAAACTACCATTCAGTGGTTTTTAGTATATTCATACCATTGTGCAAAAATTGCTTCTGTCTTATTCCAGAATATGTTCATCACCATAAGAGATCTGGTACCCATTAAGCAATCACTTCCTACTCCCCTCTCTTACTCTTATTTTTTTAAAACCTTGAAACAGCTCCTCCAAAATTATACCACAGGAATTGAGACAGTAAGGGCATTTCCACTGAAGTCAGGAGCAAATAAAAAGATAACCTCCATAGCACTAATATTTAAATATGGCACTGGATGTACTAGTCAGTGCCTCAAGAAAAGAAAATATAGATATAAAAAATTAGGAGGCTTCTTGTTGAATGAAGATGATATTAACTGACTTCAAAGAAAAAACAAGGAGCAGTGACTTAAAAAATGAATCAGAATTCAGATGGGCAATAGTTACATTCAGAATATAAAATATGTAAGCATCATCTTGTATAATATTAATAATCTTAGAAATAAACTACATCTAATTTCTTGACTGGAGTATGTTCAGTTTGCCAATATTCATCAAAATATACAATTATCACATTTTCTGTACATATATTATATCTCAATAACAACTTTTTCAAAAGAAACCTCAAATGGCCAATTTTTAAAAACACATAGCAATAGTAAAAAATATTTTTATTATTAAAAAGCAATAATTTTTTAATATGCAGGGTAAACAAATTAACAGACTAAACTCAAGAATATTAAATAATTTATTAATAAAATGCTAGCATTTCTAAGCAGTGGAGAAAGTATCGATTTCTTAATAATGACGCAAGAGGGAAGTTTGATCCCTATCTCAACATGCAAAAAAATTCCATATATTAATCATTTAAATGTAAAAATTAAGTAGGAAAAATCTTTCAAAGCAAGAGTAAACAGTAAGAAGCCGTAAATGAAAAGAAGCCATAGACTTCTCTGACTACATGTAATAATAATTTCATTTTTTTCCTTCCACTTTGGTCCCACTCAAGATTCCAATATTAATTTTAAAAGCAAACACACCATAATATAATGTTTTACAAATTGCTGATCAAAATCCATGAGTCCTAATACCAATTTAGTGCTTTGTGACAAGTGTTTTTTAATGGAATAGTAAAGAAAAATATGAACACACTACATTTGGTAAAGATAATTACAATGTAAATCTTTTATGTATGTGTTTGGATGTGTCTGTGCACTGAATCACAATGTAAAATATATTTCTTAATATGTATAGTTGTCAAAAAAGGTAGGAGAAATACTGCCATGAAAAAATTCAAAACAAAGTAAAAGCAAAATAAATGAATGGGACTACATCAAACTAAAAAGCTTCTTCTGCACAGCAAAAAACCCCATCAAACCAAGGTAGGGAAACAACCATCTGAATGGGAAAATATATATTTGCAAGCAATATCTCTGATAAGGGCCTAATAATCAAAATAGACAAAGAACTCATTCAACTTAATAACAACAAAAAAACAAAAGATCCAATCACAAAATAGGCAGAGGACCTGAACAGATACTTCTCCTTAGAGGACATAGAAATGGCCAACAAATATATGAAAAGATGCTCAGCATTGTTAGCTATTAGGGAAATGCAAATCAAAACCACAATGAGATACCACCTCACACCCGTTAGAATAGCTACAAGTGATGACAAATGTTGGAGAGGATGTGGAGAAATAGGAACCCTCATACACTGCTGGTGGGACTGCAAATTGGTACAGCCACTATGGAAAACACTATGGAGGTTCCTCAAAAAACTAAGAATTGATCTACCATATGATGCAGCAATCCCTCTGCTGGGTATTTACCGTGAAGACTTTAAAACTCATATCCAAAAAGATATTTACACACCGATGTTCATAGCAGCATTATTCACAGTGACCAGGATGTGGAAGCAACCAAAGTGTCCTATGATAGATGATTGGCTAAAGAAGCTCTGAAGAAGCCGTGGTACATATATACAATGGAATATTACTCAGCCAGAAGAAGAGATGAAATACTGCCATTTGCGACAAAATGGATGGACCTCGAGATAATCATGCTAAGCAAAATAAGCCAGACAGAAAATGTTGAAAATCACATGGTATCACTTCTATGTGGGATATGAACCTAAAAGCAACAAATGAGCAGGACAAACAAACAGAGACTCATGGACATGGGCAACAGACTAGTGGTTACTAGAGGGGAGGGAGGAGTGGGGAGGTAGATGTAGTAAAAGGGGTCAAATATGTGATTACTGAAAGAAATCTAACTACGAGAGGTGAACACACAATGTAAATTTTATATGCCTCACCGTTAAAATGTACAGCTGAAAAAAAAATTTCTTAAAAAGTTAAAAAATTCAAAGCTCAAATGATAAACTGTGAAAATATTCACAATACATGTAAAGAGTTACTATTCTTTACATAAGTATACATATATATCAAATTTAAGTCCAGTTTATTAGATCATAATTCATATATAACAAAATCATCCCTTCTGAGTATAGTTCTACAATTTTAACAAATGCACAGTCATGCAACCACTAGCATAACCAAGATAGTAAAAATCTGCTTTACCCTAAAAGGTTCCAAGTGCTCCTTCATAGTCAATTTAAGAGCTATTATTCTTAATGTAAAAGAGCTCCTACAAATTAAAAAGAAAAGGAAAATGACTCAATAGACTAGTGAGTAAAGAATGGGAATATGTAGTTCACTTAAGTGGAAATCCAAAGGATCAAAAGCTATTTGACTTTACTAAAAGACAGGCAAATGAAATTAAATGTAATTTTTTCATCCATCCAAAAGGCAAAAATAAAAAAGCAGAAATGTATATAGGCAAATTATAATGCAACATAACATTTATACTAGAGAAAGTAATAAACACTGCTCATATATTCATATAGTGAAATAACAGCTATTACTCTATGTATCAATCTAGTGATTTATGGTGAGATATCTATAATACATCAATCCAAATAAACAAGGTCACAGATGTGATGTTATCCCTCTTCATTGAAAACGCACTAACATTTGTCTAGCACAGACAAAAAGCTGGTAGAATAAACCTATATGTTAATAGCAGTTATCACTAGGAGAAAGTGAAGAAATGGGGATGTTTTCTGTTTTGTTTTGCTTACTCAATGCTTTTAATTTTATGGATATGGCTATCCAAGTACACCGGGGACTTCAGTGTGTACATTCCTTGACAGAAGATCTTTAAGTCCTTTTAAGATTAATGAGGCAACACTCCCTAACTTCGAATTATCCTACAACGCTACAATAATCAAAACAGTATGGTATTGACAGAAAAACAGACACATGGACAAATGGAACAGAACTGAGTCCAGAAATAAACCCACATGCATATGGGCAAATTAATTTTCAACAAAGGAGCCAAAAAACATACAATGAAGAAAATAAAGCCTCTTCAATAAATGGTGCTGGGAAAATGGAAAAGCCACATGCAAAAGAATGAAATTAGACTACTATTTGAGCCCATACATAAAAATTCAAAATGGATCATGACCTAAATATAAGACTTGAAATAATTAAATACATAGGAGAAAACACAGGGACTAAACTTATGGACCTTGGTCTCAGAGAGGATTTTATGAAATTGACCCCAAAGGCAAGGGAAATAAAAGCAAAAATAAACGAATGTGACTATATCAAACTAAATAGCTTCTGCACAGTAAAAGAAACTAGCAACAAAACAAAAAGGCAACCAAGTAAATGGCAGAAGGTATTTGCAAACAATACCTCCAATAAGAGACTAATATCCAAAATATAGAGAGAACTTAAGTCAACAACAGAAACAATCCAATTTAAAGAAGGGGAAGAAGAGTTGAACAAACCCTTTTCCCAAGAAGACATATATAATGGCCAACAGATACATGAAAAGATGTTCTACTTCCCTAGCAATAAAGGAAATGCACATCAAAATCACAATGAGGTACCACCTCATACCTGTTAGAATGGCTATTATCAGTAAGACAAGAAATAACAAGAAA